AATTTGTTTCACATTTGTAGAGATGAAGCACGCACTGAATAACCATCAAATAAAGTATGATGATAATAATAATAATCATCGACGCAAAACCTGACTCATATCTTTACAAGAGAAATTTTTTTTTTCTGTTTCAGCCGTATTAACGACGAAATAAACAAAATGTCTCCTTTCAAGGATATGGTCGAAAAATGATTACTAATTCATCGTTATAGCCTTCAAAACTAGATGCAATATTTTAATATTTTGATCACATTATCGATATACACTCATCGAACATGAAAGACATATTCTGTTTTATTCTTGTTCAAACAATCAAGTTTTACATCTGAATCAACTTGATTTACAATCCAGAAAAAAAACAAACGACAGACAGAACTGTAAAAAAAACACGGAAATAATCTTGCGTAGAACCAGTTATTAGCACAAAAGAAAATATCTACCTAAGTATATGTATATGTATCACATCATTTTTTGATGAAATGAAATTCATGCAAATAAATTTTGAAAGAACTATACAGTGTTTATTTTATTTTGTAAGCGGTTCTTGAGAATTAGTTGATGATGATGCTTGAGAATTTAGATTAGCTAAAATTGAACGAAGTTGCTGCCATGTTTGCTCATTTAATTGACGAGCAAGTGAACCTAAAAATAATTCTTGATCACTTGTAGTTGGTGTTGTTACTGTAGGTGTAGAAAGAGGAGATGGATAAAAAGGTGTTAATGGTAAAACATTAGGTGGTTTGATTCCTGTCTTCTTAATAATTTCAACTCGATTATTAACAGTTGATGTTGTTGATGATTCTATTTGTTTTCGTTGTTTTGGTACTTCACTATCCCATCGTGTTTGTAAACCATAAATTGGTAACTTCATTTGATGATCATTAAGAATTAATCGAACACAATGATTTTGTATATTAGCCACATCACGTGTTGCAGCTAATGCTATTTCATCAAAATCTTCTATACCATCATGGTCAGCATCAAAACCAGCACGTGTAAATGGTAAACTTTGTGAACTAACTATTTTTTTCATGGTCCACGTTGGTGAAGTATTTATATTATTTGTTTCATTATTATGATTATGAGTACTATTATTATTATTATTATTATTATCATCATCATCAACTTCATCATCGGATTCATCAATCGGTTGTTTCATACGACGTTTTTCATAATTTTGGCGTCGACGATATTTAACATAAAGTAATAATATACGACGATATACACGTCGAACATCACCAGCTAATATAGATTCACCTTGTTTTGATATTTGATCAAAATAATGTGATATGAGACGTTTCAAAGATTTTAGTGTATCAACAAGTTGATTTAGTTTCAGTAAATTATGTAAAGCAACTGGATTAGGACCAGATTTAGCATTATTCATCTTATTTATTGAACGTGAAAGTCCTGGCGGAGAAAACCGTGTACGACCACCATTAGTTAATGCAAGCTTTTTACGATTATAGCGATTTGATGATGATGACGATGGTGGTGAAGTACTATTCATACTGCCTAAAGATAAAGAAAGACAAACGATCTGGAAACAAAGAAATAGAATATCTAAACAAATAAATGAATCTAAAAGAGTAATTATTGAAGAGTACAATTATCGTTGTTTTTATTGAAAATCTATGAAAAGATGTTCATTACATTGATGATATCTTTAGTATTAAAAATTAATTTTTTTTAGCGATATTAACAAAAATTAAAAAATTGGACAAACATATTTTTCATGAAGAATAAAAAATAAACTAAAAAAAAATCGTAATGAATACATTTGAATTAGTTCAATTCATAGAAATTTATTATTTCTGATTATGATGATTCCATGACAATGTTCTTCTATGTTCAGTTCTTTTGTGATTATGAGAACCTGATCTATCTTGCATTAATCGACAGACTACAATAGCTCTAATCAGAGATGTAACGAAGCCTTGTATAGAAACACGAGTTCAAATCCTAAAAAAAGTTATTCTGTGTAATGTGTTATTATTTTTTTTTATAGTGATCAATAAGTAATGTCCGTATCAAATTAAAGACAAGTGACGTATTCTTAACAATTCGACAACAGTAACAGCTAGCAATTTGCAATTTTCAGCAACAGAAAGTAGACAAGTTTGGACGTCTTTTGTCTGATACTATATAAAACAATTATTTTAAAACATATCATATCTATAAAACATTCAAACACTAAATGAAAACGGTGCTTCATGTCAAAGAAACTTTGATGAGAAGTCATAAAATTTTCGAAAATTAACAGAAATCTATATAATTTGATTGAATCGATTGATAACTTTGATTGTTCAACATTGAAATATGAGAAGATAATTACCTGAATCGTGTCTTGAACTATAGGTCTGCAGTTTCTCTGTCTAAAATCATATGTCGACGTCAAAATTAGATCGAAACAGAACACTATCTTCATGAATTTTTTTTTCAAAGTTTTACGGAGATCATACGTTTCAAAATAATTTTTAACCTATATAGTATCAGATAAAAAGACGTTTGGCGTCTTTCCTTAGATTACTAGAAACTACAGGTCGCTAACTGTTGTCTTAGTCGGATTATTGAGCTTACGTCTATCTCTCTCTTTAGTTCTGATCCGAACAATATATGTGGGTTTGTTTTGATCTTGTCTATTATAATCAATCATAGCTGCAATCACAATCAAATCGTCTCCTGTCATACCTTGAATAAAAAAATTACATGTTTATTTTAATATAAAAAAATAAAAAGAAAACAAATTCGTAGCACACTATTTTGTTTAACTTTGCGCCAAAATTTTGATTCAGCAAGTTGAATACTCTCATAATTATTAGTATTATTATTATTATTCTGATTATGATTTATCATCAAATTCTCTTTTAAATAAGATTTATCTATCTAAAATAAACATTAGTAAGATTGATACACCACGCATGATACATTAGATATATATTTATGTTTATTTTTGTCATCACTTAATTAAAAGCATAAAGAAAAGAAAGAAACGAAGAAAGCACATGTACATGCATATGCATAAATAAAGATTTATGCTTGATTTTTATAAGGAAAAAAAAATACAAAAATAATTAAGCAATATTTTGTAGCAAATGATTGACAACGAGATCTTTATTTCCGTGATGTTTATCAAGTAAATCAGTTATAATACGACGATCAACAGTAGGAAACATTTCTTCAATTGTTCGTACATCTTCAAGTGAATATGGTGGTGGTGGCGGTTTTGGTACAGCCGATGGTGAATGTTCTCCTATCGGTTGTTGGTGTTGTTGTTGTTGTTGTTGTTCGGTCATCATAGCTGATTGGTTTGGTAATGAAGTTGCAGCATGGCCGGTCGGAATATTTGCATTTTCATTTGGATTCACAACAGGTGTTTCAGTTGAACTTGCCATTGCAGGATGGTTTGCTGCACGCACGGACTATAAACATAACAAAAAGATAAAGCAATACAAAGTATAAGAAATCGATGAAAATCTATTGTGAGCAAAGACTGATTAACTAAACAATATTGAAAATACGCACAGAATCATTATGATGTTGGTCATTTTGATCAGATATCATCTGATCATTTCTTGGCTATATTAACAGTAGGAATAATAATTTTATTTTCAATAAAAATAAATTGATTAAATTTTTGAAAAATATCTCTTAATTTTATCAGAAAAATATTTACCAAAAAACTCATAATAACAAGAATATCTCCTTGATTTTCATTTGCACTTGCTTGTCTTCCCATTAATGGATACCAATGTTGACGTGTTTCACCTTCCATTACTTCATGTGGTATCACTATTTCACTTTCACCAATAAAACTATCTTCAGTAAAATTTCGCTATAATATCAAAAGAATAAATCATCAAATTCATATAGAAAAAAAAATGAATTTACTTGATCATATACTTCTAAATGAATTCTATCCATTCCTTTGAATAAATTACTAAACAAATTAAAAAAAATAATCAACAAAAAAAATACAATCATAGACAATCAATTCTTACATGCGATAAGAGGCTTTCCATTGAGGATTTTTACCACCACCAGATGCTATGGGTGTATCGTATGCAACATGACCAATTCGAAAACTAACATATGGATCCATTTTGATCAAACCTAATAAACCGGCATTTTTTACTAATTTCGCCTAAATAAATAGAAATTTAACTTTTCTTTATTGAATCAAAACTTATAAAACAAATACCTCAGCAATTGTTAATGTAAAATAGCCAAGAAAATTTGGATTATGATAAAGTTGTTGTTGAAGTTGTACAGGTGAATAAACTTGTCTCATACCTTGTACTGCTGGATTATAGATTTGTGCTTGTGTAAATTGTATACGAAGAAAGTCTTGCGGGAGATCACCAAGCATGACCTAAATTAACGATGTTTTTGTTTACTTAATGTAAGCAAAGAAATAATTGACATACTCGTGATCGATATTCGCTAAATTTTGGTACCACATTATTATTAGTAGAAGAAATAGCTGGGTAATTTGAAGACGTTGCTCCTGCAGATGCGGCATAACTTGAAGTAGCAGTAGCTGAAGCCATGTTTTGTAGTGTTTTTAATAATCAATTTAACCTTTATGAGAAACAAAAAAAATAAAAATATGAATGAATCATTCTACTTACTTTCTTTTTTAACGAATAATTGAAGAAAATATTAAAATAAATAGATATATGCCTGTTTCAATTAGAAAATGTTTGCAAGTAATAGACTAGATGAACTAAAATATCAAATGACAACAAAATGGGTTCATTTCTATAGATGTCGCATGCAAGATGAAGTTTTGAAATATTGTAAAAATTGATGAAAATTTTTTTAAAGAAAAATATAACTTCTGAATTAAAAGAAATATTTTTTTGTTTGAACTTTTGAATAAATATTTAGATTGGCTTTCTAATTCAACCATTCATTCTCACTGTTTTCATATTTGCTCAATAACTAAAACTCTTTAGTCTTAAAAACTATCATTCAACTTTTCATTTAATTTAATAATAATGCCCGAAAGTAAGTCTTTAATATTTTCCAAGAAATTTTCTTCATTTAAAATCATATTTTTGAAGACGAACATTATTCAAATCCAATGGCTCCGGCCAATTATCGACCACATGATGATGTTGAAACAGGTTCAGGGTAAGTTTTATTTAATATCAATATTGTCAAGTTAATTTTCTTGTTTGTAGACATCCATTAACAAATGATGATTTTCGAAAATTATTAATGACACCAGCTGCACCTGGTTCAACAACATCACAACGTTATCATGGTTCAACAGCATCGGCTTCTCAACAAAAACCATCTAGTAGTCATAAGTTTGTGTTTAGTCTCGTTTTTTTTTTTTCTGTAAATAATTGTTAATTTAATGTCTATAGAGGTGAAGGTAGTACTGAAGCAAGTGATAAACGTAAAAAAAAGAAACAATATTATGCTAAAGTTATTCGTGAAGAAAAAGCTCGTGAAGAAGAACGAGCCAAAAAATATCGTGATCGTGCACGTGAACGACGAGATTTAATCGCAAATGAAGATCAATTAAGTATGGATTTAACTATAAATCCTAATCAACAAGCAACATCAACTGGAAATTATAAATCAGTAGCACCTGATACTAAAGGAAATTTTGATGCTGCTGCAAGAAGAAAACAATTAATTGAAGAATCAAAATTTTTGGGTGGAGATTTAGAACATACACATTTAGTCAAAGGTTTAGATTATGCTTTACTACAAAAAGTATTAGAATATATATATATATATGTGTTTTTTTTTTTAAATTATTTCATACATTGAAAATTTTAGGTACGAGCTGAAATTGGACAAGACGATGTTGATAATGATCAAACAACTTTAAATAAAGATGAACATGTTTTTGTCAGACCATCAACTAAAATGTAAATATAAAAATTTTTAAATTCTAGAAATAGACGTTCTCATATAGAAATCTCCTATTTCGGATCATTCTATGTTTGATACTCTCGAGTGATGTTGTTTCTTCATTTTGAATCCCTTTCAAAATTAGAAGTCAATCAATAGAAAATCATACCATTAATTACACAGAAAAATAAACAAAAACTACGAGACACTGAAATAAAAACACAAGTTGATTATAATGTGAAAGAGTATCATTTGAGTTTTCATTTATTTATAGTAGTATTTTTCCAGAAGAAAATTTGAATGACAAATCTATTAAGAAATAGTGTTTTGTTTTGAGTTTTTTCAAGGAGGAACAAAACTGATTTTTAGATTTGAAATCGTTATAATACGTTAACAATACCAAAATGGACTGGAGATGATTAACAATTATCAGAAGTCATTAGAAACTAATGAAAATAATTGTGAATCACAGAAAATCTGCAATAATAAAATTAAAAGTCAAAGTCTAATTTTTAAGTATTGCTGATGATTTCTATTGATTCATGATGAATAGATAAAAAATGTTTTCCAACGAAAAAAAATCATCAAAAATTAACGAATTAGTTTATTCTTTCTTCATGTCTTTTTTGGCATTTCCAATAACTATTTCATCTCTAATGTATCTAATAAAAGTAAATATTTTGTTCATAAATGCAACGATAATTTTCACAGTCTGATGAGTATTTAACTAGCTAAAGAAAAATAATTTCTGATCCATTTGATTTGATCTAAAACAAGTAATAACATTTATACGTTTAATAATAAAATAAAATTTTTTCTTTGAGATTTCTTACAAATATTATTTCATTAATATCTAAAATAATGACTAAATAGGAAAACAAATTGTCTCATATTTTTCAGCATTCTATATTACTAAGCTTTTTATATTTCGTTTTAATTCAAAAAAAAAAAAAAAGTAAAGTGATTATATCGTTGATACAAAATAAATTCTAACTTTTTCAGTACACCAATTGGTTCTGGTACAAATATTGAAAAGAAAAAAGTTTTATCAAACGAAACTACAACTCCTGCTCCTTCAACACCATTAACACCTGAAGAAGAAGAAGAACAAAGATTAGGCTTGAAATCTCCTATGGCTAAAAATATATTTCGAATTTTATTTCGTCCATCATCACGTCGTGTCAATGAATTATTTTTACCACATCGTATGGCATATATAATCGATTTAGAAAATCTTAATGGACAACAAGATGATGATAATGAAAAAAATACACATGTACTTGATGATATACCAACAACATTAATAAGATCAAAAGCTGATTGTCCAAATGCAGAAGTATATATTACATTATTTATATTTAAAAAAAAACAAAGAAATTTTATATTTATCTTTAGACAACAACTACTATGAGTAATAATGATATTGTTATAAATAAATTAACTCAAATTCTTTCATATTTACGTCATTCAAAACGTGATTTAAAACGTCAAAAAAAGAAAGGTACTGGAATTTTTACTGGACTCGAATCCGAAATAAATATTAAACCAACACATGATTCAATAAATACAATAACTAAAAAAGCTAAAGATATAAGTATGTATGATGATGTTGGTGATTATATACCGGATATTAAACGACGTTCAACAACAAATGATCGTGAAAAATCTCAATATGAAAATGATATTAGAAAGAAGGCTTATTTTCATAATGATTCAAAATCTGTAAATATTCTTTTTCTTTTTTTTTTTTGGTTTCTTTAAAATTATTAGAATCTATAATAACATTTATTTAGAATGATCGAAAATCAAATATTGATGATATTGATCAAAATAATACGAATCGTACTGAAACAGTTAAAAGTTTTATACGTAATGTTCATAATAAATATAATACAAAAAATGTATGTTATAATTTTGATAAAATAATTAAATATAGCTTTTCTATTTCATATATTGATAATAGGATGAGGAACGAACTACTTCATCAAATTCAAATAAAAAAAGTAAAAGTGGTTTTCAATTAAAATTTAGTGATGATTCATATGCTGAATGTTATCCTGGGTAAGAAGAAAAAAATAATTCATTCTTATTTGAGTTTTTTTTTTGTGTTTTACATAGAACAATGGCTGAAGAAGATGTTAATATTGATTCTGATGATGAACCAGATTTTGATAAAATGGATATGGGTTCAAAAAAAGGTCCAGTTGGTCGATGGGATTTTGATACAGCAGAAGAATATTCAGATTATATGGGTCAAAAAGAAGCAATGCCAAAAGCAGCATTTCAGTATGGTGTTAAAATGAATGATGGACGTAAAACACGACGTGGTGTTGGTCCAAAAGATGAAAAACAAAAATTAGAACGTGAATGGCAACAAATATCAAAAATAATTGAAAGTAAACGAAAAGGTGATCCAACTAGTAGTGCTTCGTAAGTTTTACTTTGTGAAAGATGATTATTTGTTTGATTGGTTTTGTTTTTTTTCTTTAGACCTGATCTATCGGCTAGTAAACGAGCAAAAATGTCTTAAATATTTTTTTTTGTATATTGATTGAAAATGTTTTTGCGTGCTTGTTTCGTCTAAATATATACCGTCTGAAAGTCGTATAGTTTAAGTTTTATTTAATCTTTTATCTATAAAAAACAGTAATTAAGCTTTTTTTTTTCTCATTTTATTTGCATATAATGATGATGTATATATTCGTTTGAACTAAAATTTCGTTTTCACGGTAGATAGTAGAACTTGATTTCAGAAATATCTGTTTTATTATTGCCAATTTTACTCTAATTGATCGAAGCATGTTTGTTTGGTATCAGGCAGTAAAGTATCGAATTTTCTTTATTGTTTTTTTTTTTCTTAAACTTCGTTGGAAGCATATTTTTATCTCTTCAGTTAATATGGTATTGTTTTTGGCAGGGCTCGCACGAAGGATCAAATATTAGGGGGTGTACGGCGGATTGCGGGGGTGTAAGGAAGAATTTTCGGAAAAATCTTGCAGAAAAATTATAAAATGTAGACAAAATCTGCATTCGTGGACGGAAAAAACTGAAATTTTTTGGTTTTTTTTGGGGGGGTGTACACCCCCTGAACCCCCCGCTCGCGCGGAGCCTGGTTGTTGGATTCATATTGTTGTTAGGAAATAAACTCAAGTAGGTACCGTTATCTTTTGATAAAAACATAGTTGTTTACCTGTTTTGGATAGAAATTTAGTTGTTTTTTAAATTTAGTTTTAGCCTATGGATACATTCAATGGATTTCTAATCATTTGTTTTGTACACTGCAAAACTATTGAAAAGATTTTTTGGATATATTTGCCTCTATTTCATTATTCAAAACGGTCTGTTCGTTCGAATCTTTGCTATAGATGCCAAGATACATCACTACTTTCATTCGAAGTTTGATGTCATCATCTTGTCTTATGAGCTATTTAATAATGGATCGCTCATATACAATACTTTAGGCATTATAGACTCAATATAAATAAAATTTTTTCGTGTAAAACAAGTGTCTTAATTGTCACAGAAATTTTCCAAGATTTTCATTTTTGTTTGACTAGTTTCATCGGTAATTTTACACATATTTACAGAGAAAATAACTGAAAAATCAAAAAATAAAGACGGTATAGTTCTTGATAAATTAGTTGCTACAATAAGAGGTTGATTCTCATTAGTTTTGATAACTTTAATGATGAATTTTAACTTTTATTTTATTTTGTAAATAAAAGCAAGTAGCTTGTTAAAACAGCAACAAAACATTAAATAAAATATTTCAATTAATTTTTGTTCACTACAATATTATATGGAGATTGTAAAATTATTTAAATAGATAAACGTCTTTGCTTTGGCTTAAAACTTGACAGCATCTGTAAATTATTATCGCCTTCATTTATATTTGCTACTTGAGTTTCTTTAATCACCAATGTATCGTTCTGCTTTTCTTTTAATAAAACTTCTATACAGATGATCAAAACAGAGGCTAAGATCAATATACAACCTAATCAAAGCATAAAAATAAATGAATTTGTATTTAAATAATAAATCATAAATAAAAAAAAAAAAAACAACTCTACCTAAAACAACGATTGCAGTACTTTTAGTTTGTGTGAATATATTTTGTAAGATTAATGCAAGTACAATATCTGTTGAATAGATTAATGTTACTATGGAAGAACGTTCACGTTTGATTGCTTTTTGATTAGCAATAAAAACAAAAATCGATGCTATTGCAAGTGCAATACCAACAAATAGCCTCCAATCATGAGGAAATGATCGAGCATCTTTTATAACAAAATGAGTAACAAACAGAAGAATACTTGATATAATTAGTGATGATAATGCTGACCAAAAACATAAAACAGTATTATGTAATTGTTCAGTACTAAAATATATTTTATTCATTATTGATGCAATACTATAAGAAATGGCCGTACAAAGAGCAAGACTAATACCAATAATAGAGTTCCATGATGATGAATATGGAATCCAAGAAGTTTTATGTTCAGTTGAATTAAATACTGAAGAAAATAATCTTCCAAATATTCTTGGTCGCATAAGAAGTATTATAGCAATAATTATCAAAATACAAGCAATAATACGTGATATAGTAATACGTCCATGAAGAAAAAATATTGAAAGAATTATAGTAAACATTATTTGAGTTTGTCGGATAGCCGAAATATCAGGTAATGTTATATAATAATAAGCAAGAAACAATGTAAGTGTACCAATACCAATTAATAAAGCACGAACAATAATTGCAATTCGATGTTCATTTGGTTCTAATAGATTATAGCCTTTATAGAAAGCATAGATACCAAATGCTATTAATTGAACAAACATTTGCAGGAAAAAACCAAAGATAAGATCAATTTCACAAAATTTAATTAGAAATAAGATAATACTAAAAGCATAAGCTGCAACAAACGCCCAAAATATACCTGAAAGATGATTAAACATAGTACGATGTTTAGGTTGATCAACTTTGATAGTTGGTGATATTTCAGAACGAGATCGCACAGAAATACGTGAAATATTCGATGCACGTTGTCCACGTGCTGCAATTGAACGACGTTCTGCTGCACCAAGTGATTTTGCTTCATCTGGTGTTAAACCTTCATATAATAGTCTGTCGGCATCACTCAATATATCGTCATCAAATTGAACTGTTCGACGTTTTATAGCTGAATCGGCTTCTTGCTACAATATAAAAATCAACGAATAATTAAGCAATATATCAAATCTATAGTTCACCGATTCTTGTACAACTGCTTCAGGTCTAGCTAATGAATTTGTTGGTTTAAGTAAATATTTGAGTTCATCAAGTATTTGTAGTGTTTGTTGTGATGGACGAGAAGTATTTGTGGTTGTTGGTAATGAGTTGGAATTAATATCATGTATTGAAGCATTGTTAGATGATTCTGGACGTATAGTCGATTCTGGTTCGATAATAACTTTTGTATCTGTTGGAAAATTTGGAAATGCTGGTGTAACAGTTAAATTATCATTATTTGATAATGAATCAATAATAATTGTCGATTGATTATCAGGAGTTTTCGATGGACCGAGTTTGATGCAGACATTATTATTTGGATTTAGACAAGAGTCATTTGTTGATGTTGTATGAAATTCCTTTTTTTTTGAAAAAGAAGAAAATGAAGAATATTTAGATGAAAAAATTATCTTTTTTATCTACACATACTTTGTCTGATGAGTTCGTAATAATTGAAGGATCCATTTTTTACTCAAATTATTTCGTAAAAAACAAACGTGACAACATATGTTTACCAGATAATCGATTAGTTACAAAATATTGCTTGTTTATTTAAATATATATATATTCGTCGCAATAATAATTTTCTTTTTTAGTTTAATAGTCTTTCACTGTGTACGTATCGCTCGAGTGCATCGTATATATTTATGATCATAGAACACGCTCATGCGTTACTTTACATTTATTACTATCACTATATACAATCAGAAAGCAAAAGCGAACACATACTAACGATAACAATATTGCTATTGGTGAAGTCAAATTCACCTGTGTGGTTTCAAACGTAAGCGTATGTTTGAGCAAAAAATACAGAGAAAGAATACATACACAGTTAATTACGTGCAGAAATATGACAGAGAGGCATGATTATTAATGACTTCGGTTATTAATTGCACTACTGCATTAATAAACAAGCATTGTGATAGATTATGTATGGTTGTTTTATCCATCATAAGAAGAATAATATTGGCGTATTTGGAATATTTTTCGAAACAAGCTTATTAGAAAAAAAAAAGGATGAATAAAGTTTTTATATTCAAGATGTATTCAAATACTTTCATTTGAATAGAACATTATTTTTGATTTTTATTCAATATTTCCGTGAAAATGCTCAGGAAATTTTAATTTTCACAATGATATTCATCTCGCTCGTAATAGTATTTTATCAGTAATAAGATGCATAGACGTCCTTCGATTTGTTTTCAATATATTTCTATAAACATAGAAAAAAAGAATGAAGCTATGTAAAATCAAACTCTGTCAACAAGATAATTACAATTTTAAATTGACTATGATTACGATTTAATTTTAGATTAAATTGACATTGCTTTATGCTTCGTTCATACATATTTCTTTTTGCATGTTATTTTTCGGCGTTCTATGTTGAAATGAGATTAGTCGTTCATAACAATGATGAATGCTAAGAATATATAGAAATAAAAATAATCTTTCCAGGCTTTTTACATAGTTTTCATGTTTACTTAATTTCAATTTAAAATTTGCATCTTTATCTTTAGTCATAAAAACTAGTAGTAATACCATAGAATTGTCCAATCAGAAGTGATTGTTTAGCATCAATATGAAATGAACTAATTCAAGGCAATGCATTCTTGTATTTATAAATATGTTGGTAAAATAATAATTATACATCCTAACATAATAATTTTACAAAGAAGAACGATGAATACCTGATTCAAAGCTAAATATAGTCATTACGATTTGGTAGTTAAATATAGAAAGTAAAGCGTCGAAAATTCAAATTCTTTTTCGCCACAGTTTGACCCTCAATTCACTGTTATGCGGTAAATATATGTGTAGCATATTACATTATATGGATCAAAATTTAGAAAAAAATTGTCAACCATGATGTACAAAGATTTCTAATTATCAACGTTCAGCAGCTTTACCGTCGATTATCCATCACACAGAAATTTATATGACATATTCTGTTTTAAATTTGATTTGCTGAACTATGATTTTTGATCGTCTAAGCTACTTTCTGCATTTAATGAGTAATTTCATAATGAAACTGATAATACTCATTAAAAATATTTTCAACTCATCATTCAAATCGATTTCATCTACACCCATTGGTTATAAATTTTTTTAATAATTAATAATTCTGTTACATTTTATTATACTATAACATATTATAAAATTCATTGATTAATTTATCGACAACAAATGTTTTTCTATTTTTTTATTTTTATTTTTTATTAGTCTTTCTGTCAATAGCAAAAGTGTGTCAATTTAAGTGCATTTATCAAGTAATGCAACACTAAGTAAAATAGTCCTTTTTAATTTTGTAGTCCTAATATATCAAATTATCATGAAAAGAAAACGCCCTTTTTCCTCTCTTCTAGCAATTTTTTTCTTTTTCAACGCCATTAAAGAACTACCAATGAAGATGATGATGACGATAATATTCAGGACAATTTTTGTCCTTCTTTTCTCATTTCTCTGTCAAACTTTCCTTTCTCACACTCAGTGGAAGGACAACTGCACTCACACATCTATTCATTCTTCTTTTTTTGCGTTAGTGAGGACAAATATATTTATATAAATATATATATATATATTCGGTTCTGTTCGTTTCTCTCTCTCGGCCGACTAACAACACGCATAAAATTCTGCACTCGACTCGCAACAGGCTCGATGCAGGAAATAAGGAAAGAAATGGAGGGCAACGAGGGAGAATTCTTTTTCCTTCAATCAGAATTCTTGTTGCCGTCAGTAGAACAAGTAACAAACAGTAAAGAGAACGCGAATAACAATCTGAAAATAGAAGAATAAAAAAAATGGATGATGAAAATATTGGTACAATGGATCAATGGTTTGATTCAACATTTATGGTTCTTAATGAATCATATCAACTTGATTTACGTCGAGTTATGTCACCAGATACATGTGAATTAGTTCATGCATTAAGTGATTATTATATGTATGATAATATTGGTCTATTTATTCATTTACTTGGTTTAACTTCACACTATCTGACATCAACGTCATTTGTGTATGCTGACAATCAACTTAAACATAAACTTAATCTTCATTTACTCTTAGTTGTACGAGCAGGTAGATAATCATATAGATATTTTTAATTAACTCTATACTTTGAAAGATACTCGAATGTATATCTTTACGAAAATATTGGATAAAACACGTTCTTTTCGGAATTGAGTCTTATCTAAATCTATTTACAGTATTTCCGAAGAGAAAACGACGTAGTATGGAGATAACTTGAAAAAATAGGCCAAAATGATTTTATCTACATGTTGCTTATTATTAGGATGAAATTACAAATTATATGTTAGATTTGCCATCAAGAACGATAAAATAATTAGAGCCAAGCTTTTTTTTATAGTATAGAATATCCTAGTCTCTTATTCGTTAAGTATTAGTGTAGCTTTTAATGTTGGATTTCTCAGGTGAAAGAGTATTAATAAGCAATATATATCATAGGTCTTGTCGACATAGAAAAATGTAAAAAGTAATTATTGGTGTTTCATATTTATGCACTCCTATTATAATCAATTACATGTAGCGCAAACAGTAAAAAGAATCTTTAACGAACAAAAATCATAAAAAACTTCTCCTAAGTTGATGTAAATAAGAATATATTTTGACCTCGTCGTAGAACTCTATGACCTCCTTTTCCAGAGAAGAACAAGAAAAAGAGCAGAAAATATTTTTACAAGAATGCACTTCAAGGAAAGAAAAAAGAAAGCTTGAAAATATAATTAAGGAATATAACTAAAAGCAACTACGCTATTTGAGATTGAGAATTTAATACAATTTTTAATTAGGCTATGAAAGATCATCACTGGTTGAGCATCTAAAACAAGCAATGAGTAATGTACAATGTATTCGTCAAACTGGTCAACAATATGATATTCGACATACATTTAATTCCAATATATTTTGTCGATCAGATGAATCGATAATATCAACAGGTCTTTGTCTATCAGATAAATTTGATGAACATGGAACATATACACATATTCAAAAACAAAATCCTTTTTCAATTATTGGTACAAGTACTGGACAGTATATTCGAAAATTACTCGAAACAAAATTTAATCATAATAATAATACTATTCATAATAATAATATAAATAATAATAATAATAATCATGTAAATAATGCAGATTGGTTGATGATGTTTATCGCAAGCAAAGCTCGTTTATTTTGTCGACGACCAAAATTATTTGATCCAAATCGTTATCCATCACTTGAACAATGGATTATAGTTCTTAATTGTCATTGCTCAAATTTAATGGATTTTTATTTTGATGAACCACAAGCAAATCAATTTATGTGTGATTATCTTGATGCACTTTCACTTAAAGGTATTGTCTTATTATATCATGAAATCATTTTTAATTATTTTTTTTTGACAGCAACATCTCTTGAAGATAGTCATCCATGGATGTCAGCAAGATATATATCAGCACGTGAACATGTCTTACGTGTATCAGCATCATTACGTATAATTGAGTTAGCTATTGAAACATTAATTGTTTATCGACGAACATTTCATACATTTGGTCAAGCAGATAAAATATTTTTTGATAATTGTACTCATATAATTGAACAAACCCGAGGTAATACAACAACAGCACGTGTAAATATTAATGTTGCTATTGTTCAATCAGCTATTTATTTTGTTAATACAAGTATTAAACAATTTGAAATTATGTTTGAACCAACATTAAATACTGGAACACCAAATCCAGAGTAACGAATATTATTATTTTATTAACAATATATTTTCTTTATATTGGCTTTTTTTTTTCTTCTTTTAGACTTCCATCGATGATAAATCAAGCATCCATATCAGATCGTTCATGGATAACACATTCATCAACATCATTTCCTCCAAGATCAACATCACCATCAGCAAAACGTTTAAAGACTTTTGTTGATCCATCATATGTTAAATCATTAGAACTTGCACATGAACTTTTACTTTTGCCATATGTAGCATTTACACGTACATCTGTCTATGCGAATTCAAAATTAAAACGTAATGCTGCTTATCTTGATTCAGTTATTGAAGAATTAAAAAAACATCGTCTACTTATTATGGTAAGACAAGGTGTACAAATGGTTGATGGAACACGAAGACGTGTGGATCTTCTTGTTAAATGTGCTCCAATATTAAAAGAAGATGAGAATAATAATAACAATAATAATCATAATAATAATAATGATAAAAATGATGATGATCTTATTGAACGTTTAGGTCGTTTTGGTGTTGAATACGATCGTTATATTCAAACACTAGGTACACTTGATATTGGAGAAAAATATCGTTTATCTGAACAATGTTTTGAATTATTAAATTCACCTGATTACAAGCGATATTTGACAATTGATCTTGAACGAATAGCACCATTACATCGTATACAACAACAACAACATCAACAGCAAGAACAACATCGACATTCGATTCAACAGGAAGAAACAAATGATTTATGGACATCATCTTCATCGTCATCTAATATTAAACTTGAACCCGCAGATTTTTATGCATAAAAATTTCAGAGATATTATTTTTTTTTGTGTCAGATGAACTATTCATTTTTGATTAAAATATTTTAAAAAAATTTATTATTTATTGTTTTTTTTTTCTCAATTTCAGCAAAGGAATATACATAAAAATAAACTTCTAGAAATCGAATATAATGATGTGTTACGAGAACATCTCTTCTATCAAATTCATGATGAGTCTAAATAAGTATACTAATAGTTTTCACTTACTCAATCTATCTTCATATTCATATTTTTAAGAGTTGATTAACCACTTTATCATTATTTATAGTTTCTTTGTCAGAGTTACAGAAAGTTCTTTTATATAAAAACGAATACTCAATCGATAAAAATATGGCTTTATTTCAGTCATCACTCATTCGTTATAAATGAGCTTTCAGCAGTTAATTTATATATATATATATATACTAATAAGCTGAATGAAAATAGAGAAGCTGCATGAAATGTCGCATTTTTGCATACCAAAAATATGACTCAATATCTACGGAATATAGTTGTTTATCAATATAGAAAAAAACACTCCTTTTCCGTTAAAACATGTTTAGTATAAAAACTAATAATAGAAAGATGCTGAATTCATATTTTAAAATCATGTTATTCAAATAGATAAAGAAATTAGTTTAATTTTCTCAGCAGAAAGTCTTATTTGCATGGCATGAGGGAAGTCTCTATTAATAGAGTCTGTCCTTTACGTGCAAAATTATGTTATAAATTAAGACATAATCATCTTAACACTGTATTCGCTTGTTTACTCATGAAACTGCATAACATAATTAAAAATTATAAATGTCTATCAATTTATCCGTGAATCAAAGCGGCTTATAATAGGATTCGTGAACTTTTCATAAGGATTGCGATAAGCAATGGAATATAGAGAAAAAAAACCTCAAATTAGTCAACATAATTAAAAAGATAATTTTTTTTGTATTATTCACTTGCTCTTTGTTTGTTGTCTTAATATTAAAACCAAGAATTCCTGCTTCTGTTATATCAACAGCAATCACTAAAATAAAATTAAGAATTAAGAATTAAAATAAAGTATTGTCTTTTTCTTTTACTTGAATAAATTAATCTTTCTTCTGTTAAAAATAGATTTTTAACAATTTCTTAATTTTTAATTATATTTGTTTTCTTAATCGATCTTTCTCTATTTGATTCAATAACTAATGACGATGAAGCAATAACTGAATCACAACCCCATATTTTACATTTTGCATGAATGATTTTTCCATTCTCATGTTATTTTATTTGTCAATAAGGAAAATTAACGAATGAAAACTCAACAAAAAAAAAAAAAGAATTTCACTTATAATTTTATCAAATTACCACAAGCGAATGATCTGTTTAGAGCAATACTAAGATTTCAAGAATTTTTTTTAACGATCAATTACTTGTTCATGATAATTACGTGTTGACATACTTCAACACTCAGGGCTGGCCCGACTAGGGGGGTTGTGACAACCCCCCAATAATCGAAAATTTTCGTTTTTCCCCAGCGAAAATGAAATTTTTTTCTTGAGTTCTGTTAGAAAAACATTTTATTCGCATTACAAAAGTTCGGAACAACTCCTGAAAAAATCGCGACAACCCCCGAATGTTTGCTGACTCGAGCCAGCCCTGTCAACACTACAAGATAAAAATGGACGTCTTTTGATCTGAGCGAAATGCAAGAATATCGAAAAATACACTCCGCTTGAGACTTTTACGTGAAACATAAGATAAATATGAAATATCAGAAAGTATCAATCTTTTTGCGAAAAACTTGAATAGATATTTCAGATAAATGTCATCATGGATCTTCGATAGTTTTTGATTTTATTATCAATCATAAAGAAGTGCTCAGAACCATATAATAAATACTAATATAATGTTGCTTTTAAGTACCACACAATTAACAGTAATGCAAAAAAAAAATACCATCGTGTAATGGGCTGTGAACTAATAACATTTTGATGAAATGTTAGTATAATCAGTCAACTTTTGATTGTTACATGGTACCGTTACTAATTTTAACATAAATAAAATCTACTTGACACATATTAATTTGAGTCAATTGACTTGTAATTATTTTCAATTCTATATTGTTTTTTCACATTAAAAGAAATAATAACACTAGACAAAAAACCATTTCGTCAGCGTTTATTTTAAGAAAAAAAAACTATTCATATCCGCTTCGCTCTGGTGTAATTTTTAATTCATTAGATCAAGTTATATCGAAAATAAATAATTTCCTTTTCGATGAAGTAACTTATGGACTGATCTCTATTAGATTTACATTCCATATTTTCATGTATTCTATTTATAGTTCTGATGAATCAGATAGAAAAGAAAAATGATTAAAAAGATGAGAACCATGAATTGTTATATTGGTTGCCTTTTACTAAAAATAAATGAAGATATAATACGCACGCAATAGGGTAGTTATATCACAAAGCTAGGCAACAATTTATGACTAATATATGGAGCATAGATGGGGTATAAGACGACAATTCAAGACACATTCTAGCATAATATTGTTTATAAAATCATTGATCCAGGATTTTCAAGAAATTGTTTAAATTCTTGTAACCATTGGGCACCAATGGCACCATCAATGACACGATGATCACATGCTAATGTTACATTGACATTAGTTGATTGACGGAAACTATTAAAGCGAAGAAATTCAACTGATTAATAAAGAAAAATAATTCCATACCCCTTTGGAGAATCTGCTGCAGGTACAATTTTTGTTTCAACGCCACCAACAGCTAAAATAGCTGACTAGAAAGATAAAAGTAAGAATACATATATATTTTACTTTTGTTTCAATTCAAACATTATTCTTTATTCTATATGGCATACTTGTTGAGGATAGATTATAGCACTAAAATTTGTTATACCATACATTCCCAAATTAGATATTGTAAATGTTCCCATCTATAATTAGAATGATAAAACAAAAACAAAAAAAAATTCTATTGATTTACTTCAAGTTCATTGTCATTCAATTTTCCATTGTTTGCTTTCTCGCTCAATTGGGATATTTCTTTATTGATGGTAGAAAGACCCTAAAGAAAACAGAACTATTTCATTTTAAACATAATAAAAATTTACCTTTTGATCTGCATAATAAATAATAGGCGTCATAAGAAGACCAGCTTCAGTAGCGATTGCAACATTGATGTCAACTGTTTCATATCTTATATAAATATTTTAAATTAAATGAATAATAAAATTCAGTGATATTATTTACTGTCTGATAGATTTATCCATCCAAACACTATTGGTTTCAGGTCGTTTCTTGCATGCAAGTGCAGCTGCTTTTATAATAAAATCATTTACTGAAATACCACGTATTTTTTCTTTTGAATCCTTTGATTTAGGTGTTAATATATCATTAAATTTTTGACGTAATCTAGAAAAAAAAATGTTCCTAAATCACGAAAAACTCATTAAGTTTTAAAAGAACATACTTGAGTATTTCATCTAATTGAATGTCAATAGTTAAATAATAATGTGGTATTGTAGTCTTTGATTCAGTTACACGACGGGCATTTTCCTGAGAAAAGAAAATGAATTATAGAATAAAATGAAATCTTTGTGTATAAATTGTTTACTGCTTGTAATTCTGATATTTGTTGTTCATCATAACCGCCTGTACCTATTGCTGTTTCTTTATCTTTTTTAGCTGCTTTAGATGGAGTTGTTTGAGCATCTTTGACTTTTTTAGCGTCTAGTTTAGTTTTGACACCGCCTTCTTTTATAAATTTTTCAACATCTTCAGCTATAATTCGACCATTAGGACCACTACCTTGAATTGACTAGAAAGTTTAAATAAGATATGATTTTGTTGTACATACAACATAGAGAATTGAATATTTACATCTAGATCTATGCCTTTTTCTTGAGCAATTTTTCGAGCAAAAGGTGATGCCACAATTCGATCATCATCACTTGAACTACGAGTTGATGTTGTTTTTTGTTCTTTTTGACTTGTTGAGTCATCTTTTTTCGTAAGTACATTTTCTTTCATTGCAGTTTTTTCAGATATAGTAGCTTTTTCATCTGATGATTTCTTTTTAACTGACGATTCACTACTATCATCTTTATAATTCTTGAATGCAGCTATATCTTCTTCTTTTTCAACAATAATAGCACAAAGCTAAATATATAAATTATTGCATAGTTCCATAATAAAAACTTGAATAACTATTTACTTACTTTTCCAACAGATACATCTTTGCTTCCAGCAGGTATAAAAATTTTTGCTAGATATCCATCATCGCTTGATTCAAATCCTAATGTTGCTTTATCTGTTTCAATTTCAGCCAATACATCACCTGTAAGAAAAATATTTTCTTGTCATTGTTTTCGAAAGAAACTTTTCGATAATCGAACTTTATAAAAAAAAAAGAAACGATAAGTAAAGAACTGCTCATCACATTAATGATATATACCTTCAGCAACTTTTTCTCCTTCTTTTTTAGACCATGATCGTATTGTACCGGTTTCCATAGTTGGTGATAATGCTGGAAGAGTAATTCTTTTATGAGATGGTAAACTACTGGATGAAGCATATCGAACAGGTAGATTTTGTCGAATATGGATAATGTTACTTGTTGATAGTGATAATAATCGACCACTAGTGCTACATGATGAAAGGTTTGAATCGACTAGAAATAGAGATGAGCTAAAATAATGAAAACAAAAAAATATTTTTTTTATTAAAATATTATCTCAAGAGTATCTACTATAGAATACCAATAAACAATATCGATAGTACTACAATAACCGAATAGTTAGAAATCTAACAACTTTAAAATACTGATAGTTTTATTGATAGTTCACATGACAGTTTCCAAAAATATCTCAAATATGAAGTCCAAATAGCCGATACAAACTATTTTTTATTGAAATCTAATATAAAACAGTACTTTGAAGTGTTTTTTCTATACTTTTTTTAAATCAATAGGTGTCGGATCTTTGATAGAAATTTTAAGAGAATTATCTTTATACAAACTTTTTTGGAATTTCTTTTCGATTACTTAATACATCTATTTCAAGATATAATTTTCATTTCTGCACAATTAAAAATTTTTTGATCAACTTCATTGAACACTACTAAACTCAACAATATTCTTTTGTTTTTGTTATAATTGCTCACTTGTTGAGGTTTATTTTACTTGTTGAATTAGAAATAGTGAGACATCGTCTCAATAAATGATTAATTCTAGATGTTGATGAACAACGTTGTGCGGTAATTAACAGACGAGTACTTTGCATTTTTCAAACAATCGTTGTTATTTCTCACAGAATTTAAATCAAATCCAAGAAATGAAAAAAAATCTAGAATAACATACAAGTGTCATTCTTATTCATATCTTTCTTTCACATACACAAAAGATTACATTTTAAATGAAAAAAAAAAAAAAACGAAACTGACGAACAAAAAATGACAAGAAGAAAAAAATCAAGATCGTTGTCACATATATGATACATCAAACAAATCTATGGTCGTGGTTGAGCTGGTTTATAATTTGATATTAAATAACCATTTGTTGTACCATGTAATTGTTCAGTTCGTTTATCAGTTTTAACCATTGACTTTGAGACGACACCTTTCCATGTTCGACCAGTTAACTAAATAAAGAAATATTTTTGAAATGAATATGATTTATTATTTAATTACTTTAGAATTAAAATCTGTCCATCGTTTTTTATCTTTTTCACGTTCTTCTTCGAATTCCTTTAGTTTTGCCACTTTCTTCTCTTTTTTTCGACGTTTAAGTTCACGTAATCGTTGTTCTAATTCTCGTCTATTAAATAAAAAAAAAAAGATCAAAATCAAAAAACCAAAACATTGCATTGTAATATTTACTTTGTTTTGGCTCGATTAGCAGCTGATCTTATACCACTAAAATCAGAACGGGTTCGATCGAATGGTTTTAATTTTGATGCCTTTAGAAATAATACAATATTGAAATATTTTTATTTTTATTTTTAACTACATTAAATACTTACTCGAACTATCGTTAATGGTGCTGATTCAAAGCCATCAAAAACAATTGTACATGTTCCATCATCAAGTACATCATCAATCGTACATTCATAATATCTGATTAGAAAAAAAAAAAAAAATATATATATATAGAATTGAAATTGTAAAAAATTCTAATTTTACATACTTTCCATCTTCATTCCAAGGTGCTAAACATCGATCACCTGTTTTCCATTTAATAGCTGAACGAGCTGATGATGATGATGCTGTTGTATTATTTAATTGTGATGATGATGAATAACTGGAAGATGCTATTTCATTATAATTCGTTAATGTTGTTGCTGTTTCATCAGAATTTAAGATGGATGGATCACAACCGAGTAATTCAGCTGTTATTTGTATGACTTCCTAAATGAAATAATTAGTTAAAAAATAAATAAATGAAGAAATATTACTTCAAGATCTTGTTTCAGTTTGAGTAATTCAGGATCATCTGGTTTTGCTTTGAGTGCTAATTCGACCTGAAAAAAAATCAATGCAAAAATAAATTAAAATTAATGCGATTTCAGAAAAGATATATGTACTTGCTCAAGTTGATATTTACAAGCAGGTAAATTTAAATCTCCAGTATCCATTTATTTCTTAAGTTTTGGATTTTAAAGTGGCGCTTTTTATTCAATAAAGTAAGAATCAAATAGATGACTGACTGATTGACTAACTGGCTGGCTGACAGACGGTGGACTGGGATAAAGACATGCATTTTGACTGGTTAATATTTTAAGTATAACAAATATATAATTACTAAGAAAAAAAAAAGAATTTTTTAAAATAAAATTTGATTATTCAATATTTTTTATTTATTTTCGTATAATTGCAGCGCCATCTGCTTATAATGACTGTGAAACTTGCAGTGAGTCATTATCAGATGTGTGGGCGATTGTATGAGAAAGAGTGAATACGGAGTAGTACAAAGTAAAGAATTTATTAGTAAGTGTTGAATACTTGAGAATTCTACTTTAGTGAATAATTGATAACAATTTTCTTGTTTGTGAGATAAATTAAGTGAAAGAATCGAAGACAATATTCATGGCTGATCCATCAGATGATGTGTTATTACAAGTGAGAGGAAGAAAAAAATCCTAACATGCAAATTAATCTCAAACTTTCATATTTACTTAGATTAATCCTTGTTTTTGCTTACTTCTAATATATTTTAATAGGGTTATATTAACATGCTACAATGTGACATAGCTAATCTTAGATTGTATTTTAAGAGAATATTTTATTTCAGATCGACAATTGTATCGACACTTGGTCATCAAAAAGTAAGAAAAATGTTCCGAGAAAATTTATTTGTATTGTTGGTTTTAGTGGCAACGGCTAGCGATTTTCAACGTTTATGTAATACTATATCGGCTAACCTAGCAAAGATTAATAGCCACAGTATGTTAAATGATTTGTTGATCTTTTCTTTTTATCTATTATTTAATTATTCATAGCAAGTGATCTTGAAACGCTTGTAAAAAAATTAGGTACACCAGAAGATAGTGAACCATTACGAGAACGTTAGTAAGTTAAATAAATTTATGATTAAATATGAATGTCATTTTACATTCAATCAGTCTTCGTCTACAAAATGAAACAAAATTATTAATGCAAGAAACAAATCATATTCTTCAACAACTTCAGAGTATTCCTCTAGCAAGTGAGGCTGATCAGGTGAAAAAGAAAAACAAAAAGAAAAATTTAATGAACAAACTTTTTATAGAAACGTAGAAAAAATTTGGCTGAAACTTTACCAAAACAATATTTAGCAATATTGAATCGTTTTCAAGAAACACAACGTGCAGGTGCTAGAAAAGAAAAAGAAAGTCTTGAACGTGCTCGAGCTGTTACATATCGACAACAAAGTATACATGAATCAAATAATACTGATACATCTGAACCTTCAAATACTCAACTTCAACAACAATCTATTTTACCAATGGAACAAGAAGTTGATCTAAGAGGTTTAAGAGAACGTGATGAACAGTTACGTCAAATTGAAGTATAAAATTAATTTGAAGAAGCTTGTTAAAAAGAAATGTTACTTTTTCTTAGACAAATATTGTTGAAGTTAATGAACTATTCAAAGATGTTGCTCAGATTGTTCATAGCCATGGTGGAATAATTGGTAAGATTTTTAATAATTTTTATAACTAAATTAAAGAGATAAAAAAAAAAACTATGCGTAGAATTTTAGAGAAATAATCTTATTTAAGATATAATTTAAAGTCATGCTAAAGCTTCTATTGAACAAGTAGAACAAAGCAATCCACAACTTGTTCAAGCTTTTATAAAATAGATGGTTTTCGCTTAATAGAAAATACTATTAATGCATAATGCATATAGATTAAACAATATATCATTTCATTTTGTTTAGATTCTATTGGTGAACATATAGCTGATGCTGAAACGCATGTAGAATCGGGTAATCAAAAACTAACAAAAGCCGTTTCTTATCAGGTTATTTACTTATTATTCATCAAAAGTATATCCTTTTTTTTTTTAATTCTAGACTTCTGCTCGACGTAAAAAAATTATTCTAATTACAATTTTAATCATTGTATTAGTTATTTTGGCTCTTGGATTGTATTTGGGGCTTAGAAAGTAATATGTAGATAGGTTAGTTATTCAAACAAATACACGTTTAACTTACAGTCTATTTTTACGTGTATTACACAGGAATTCACAATTATTGGTTTCCATGTGCCAATATGATGTTGAATGTGTTCCTCTCTTCTCAGATTATACGTATTGTTTTCCACAAATAATTTTACTTATATTTAAACTTCAAAATAGTGCAATCATTTCATTATGACCGAACCAACATTTCTATCACTTTTTTGTTAATTTTTCGTTTGATGCCTTTATATAGTATTTTTTTTTATTGTATTGCTGCTAGTGTGTTTTTTGTTACTTTTTTCTGATCTTTATTGAGTACTATTTTTCGATTATTTTTCAATCCGCAAATTGATGAATGCTTGCATCTATTTTTTTTTATGTGATTTTAGAAAAAAAAGTTAACCACAAAATAAAAAATAATTTTTTGATTTTCGACATGTGCAATTAAATTTATGTATTGGAATAAATGAAAAACCGAGAATCATGAACTTAGATCTGCAGTGTAATATTTGATATAATGAAAGATATTTTTCGATAATGATTAATATAGAATCGATTTTAACTCTTGTTAAAAGATGTGAACGAACTTTGAGTGAAAACATTAACAAACTATTTTTCATGTTTCTTACTGATCTTCCTAATGTTTGAGTCAATCAAATACAAATTTTATCTATCTTACATTGAAAAGAACAAACACGTTTGTAGTTTTCGTTAAACAATCTAAAACTACAAACATTAGATTAGAAAAGTCACAGTTAAATATTTTATAGTTGTATGGAATATAACACGACCATATGACAAATAACATGTATTTTTCTTGATTTGAAACCTTAAAATTTCAGAAGAAAGATATTATTCATTAAGACTCGAGAGCAAGAGACTAATATCAGAACTCTGGAATCATGTAAGAGACTTGGTGAATGTGTGACGTGCCTTTGAGTCCTCTGTCAACACATACAGGCACCTTCGCATAGCTTAATCGAGTTTTTAATACTGAGTTCATACCTACTAAATATATTACGTAAAATTTAAAATTTGTCACATCATGATTAATTATTAATGAATTAAAACAATAATATATAAGAAAATATCCGCACATATTTTCTTTGAAATAAGCGTACATTAAAAACCATGCTGGAATTACACGTTTACATAAGAAAAACAAGACTATATGGTTTTTTTGACTTCAATAAAAATTTTTTTTGTATAGTTTTTTCTCTCGTTTTCATTCACTTTGTCATTTTGTGGAACTCATATATATTTTCGAAGAAAATAGTGCGTGTAAGTTTTAAGTTCAAGGTTTCGCGGCTTCCCACCCCTTACAGACAGGCTCCCATTACAGACCATAGCAACTTCACAAAAAAAAATTCTGTTCGAAGTATATAAATAAAAAAAAGACAACATTTGCTGATAATCGATTATCATTAGAAAAGAATTATCGTCTTTGAGAGAATTTAAACATTATATATTTTGTCATTAGTACAATGAAACTAAAGAAGATATGCGAGTTCCACATCTCAGCCCCAAAGGGACTGTGCTAACAAGCTTTTTTAATCTTATATTGTGTCATATAAATTTACAATTAAAATTAAAAAATGCTATTAATGTCGGAAATTAATTTCACAAAAGTTGTAACATATAATCCAGTGATACCCTTTTTTCTATTAGTGTGACATTGTCATTCGTTATGGATTTTTCTGTCTATGCAAATTATTGTGGTAGTAACTTGTACATCAGTTATTGAATTTCAAATATTTCTATGGTTTCAAACAAAAACTTACTATTGCCTTGTTTTCATTATATACTGTTATTCGGAAATCGACTAATAAATTGAAAATAATCTATTGTTTTTCTACAATTTGATTGCATTGTCTGTGTTTATTGATCATTTAAAAGAATAATAATATCATAGTAATTAGTTATGAATAAGCATCTCATGGGTCTAAGATTTATCTTCGAATCCATTCCAATGAAAATGACAATTAAAAATACCACATACTAAAGTAAAACATGTTGCAAAATTGTAATTCTTTGTTATAAAGAAGAAGAAAAAAAGCATTCTTCTTTTTTTTACACGATTCAATAAATTTTTGATCTACTCTTGCAAAATGCCAGACGACAGTTATATAATCAAATTAATATATACATTCTCGAACTGACATCATTAGAAAAAATGCTGTTAGTATCATTTCTCTAATGTTTTGATCATTTTATACATAGAAACCACATATGGTTTTTATCAATACTCAACAAAACTAAACATTTTGAAAAAAAAAAAGTAATCTGTAAATATTTTTAAACGGCATAATATCAAACAAGAAATCACTTGTGACAGATCTTATTTCTTGGAAAAATACTTCTATATATGACTAGAAAGGATTGTCTTTTAATATCGACATTCTATTCGCAGCTGCTATGTTATGTTTAGATATAAATATATTATCTAACAAAGAATACACGTATGAATTTCATCTTGAGTTGCGCTTTCTTTCGTTAATATTCTTCAAAATGAACCAATCCTAAATAAAAATATATTAATTTAAAGTATTACTATGTTCAACAAAAGGTTGAACGACGCCCTTCATTGCTCTTGTCAATCTCCATCTATCTGTTTATACATATATATATTGTTTGTTAATTTAGCTTTCGTCTGTTCAACCGTTCATCATCATCGTCGTTGTTCATTTATATTCGGGTGTGATTTTGTTTATCTTAAACTAAGAAGAATAATTATCTTCCTCATATAGATATATTCAAATCTATATTCTCTTATTTTCATAAAAGTTAATACATAGATGTAACGGTCATCTTACGTATAGAGAAAACACTCGAAAAAATCAATAATGAATTTTGGCTTTTATTTTTATGCATATTAAACGTTTTTTTCCTTCTGTCTACAATCATGTGATGATTGAATAGTGAACAGTAACACTTGATGAAAATATAGAATAGAGAAGAGCATTGCATCAATGTATGCTCAAGTTATTTGAATCGTACTATAAGATTGAAGAGATCAAAGTGACTCGAATTTCAATGCATCGCTCTAAAGTAATATAGAAATGGATTAGTCATCATCAATAATATTAATAATGATGAAAGAAGAAAAAAAGCTAGTTGGCAAATAATGAATGGTGTAACTATCAGTAACTGAAAATTCTTATATGAACTAAGAAAAATCTTAATTGAACATAAATACATATTTTCATTAAGTCAAGAATCATCATAATTTATATACAGACGTGATTTTTATATTTGTAAGACGAACAAACATTTCACACGTTTTTACTTCCGATTTTTTTAAAAATAAACTATTTCAATATTATTTGTGAAATAAAGAAAATTATAATCTCAATCAAAAAAAAAAAAATGATTGATTTACATAGGTTCAAATGAAAACAAAAAATTCGAATTACTCGTACAAAGGTAGATATTGATTTGTCACGCATCTGTTCATTTCATTCGTTAGTTGCTTGCATTTCTATGAATGAGCGATGATTATAATAAAATAATCTTCGGTTTCCTGTCGTTCATTGTGAACTGTCAATAATTGCCGACCACCCATTTTCTTTTTGATGGTTTGATGAAGCTGATAAGTAAACGTCGAGTGGTGTGTGTGCATGTGCGTGAGTAGGAAACGCAAAGACCGAAAAGACAATGAAATTAAAAATTCATTTTTACTATGCGTTCATTTTCATTCGAAGTGTCTCATCATCATATTGATTAGATGACTGCCGCCATATAAAAACTATTTCTAGTAACATAAGCGAGTTTGTTGACAGGCACTTCCCATGATAATAGCCAGATCTCGCCATCTCTATCTATATATTAATACTTGTCTGTCATTTTATTTCTCTCTCTCCCTCTTTCTATTCTGATTGATTTGCTGCTGTACAATTCTTTTTCTTTCGATGTATGTGTGAATATATAGATGTTCGTTCTCTATCCTTTTGCTTTTTTTTTCTCTTCTCTACTGTCTATAGATGCTACATATTCTCGTTATTGTGCATACACTTGTTATTCGTCTCCTTCTTCCACTATTACACATACACTCGATCGATGATGATGTTCACTATTATCATCAACACATTGTAGGTCAATATCGAAACGAGCAAGTTTATTGAACAAACGAATAAAACAATTTCACACATCGAATATGGTCTAATACAGACATACAATTACGCTACTGTTCTTTTTTTGTATTTTATTTTAACGACATAAGAATACGCGAGAAGAAAAACGCAACAGACGTGAAAGTAAGTTTTTTATCCGTTTTATCCATATTAAAAAATAAGAAATGAATTTCAACAGCTGATAATAAAATTCTTCATATCAATGATTTTTTTTAATATACATGTGATAGATATCTATTCTTTCTCTCACGTTTCATAAGCAATCTTTATAAATATATGTTTGACATTTATATAGGACTGTTAAATTGAAAAATACGATAAGTGAAAAATGTCTATCCATGTGAATGGTATTTGATCTTTCATTTGCTGTCAAATTGAGATAGACCATTGCGTCAGAAGTTTTTTCATCCATTGATTCAGAATAGACAGACATGATCCAAATAAATATACAGATGCCCTTTTGTTTCTTGATCTTTTTTTTTTCCCATGCACACATGTAGCTGAACCATGAACACTGTACGAATGGATGATGATGAATGAGCCTATTCATTCAAGGTTATATGCTTGACGAGCGCACGCCTGTACGCATGTTTGCTGTCCGATCGACAATGAATTGAAGAACGTGAGAGTTTACTCTGTTCGATATTTTCGCACTTAACAAAAAAGACAAAAAACAAAAGCGATACTTTGATTCATTGACAGAAAATTTCAAGTAGATAGAAATGAGAATCTCTGATGCAACTACTTCCAACTAGATGATTGTGTAAAAAACAAAGAAGTTTATCTGTATGAGTGTGGAATGGTAAGATATTAAGAGCAGACATAAGATTGCAACCTTTCTACATATTGCGTAGCCATC